AGTAAAGTGAAAAACGGGAGATAAATGTTTGATATAAGAATTAGTTTCAAATATCAACTGTCAACGACGTTCTCGGAAAACGAATAAATTGCAAAATTCAGAGTCGTTATGAAAATGCAAATTCAAAATGAATTAATGCAATTGTTAAACATAAAACTATGTAAAAAAAATTCAATGAAGTAACTAAATTACAAATTTTTGTCCTATAAATACGTTAAGTTAAATTAAGTGATAGTATTCAAATTAATTTTTACGCTAAAAAAGTGATCAGATCGGGATTATAGGCTTCAGACGTTTTTAAAAATAGCGAAAAAGACGTTTAGCGCTACTAGAGAGTTATAATGAATATTGGAAATATTCGGAAATAAATTATAAATTGACCAGTAATTTTCTTTATTAGTTCTCATAAAAAAATCTATTTAATCATGCATGTTGTCATTTGAAAAAAAAAAATTGACATCCTTGTATGGTTCAAGGGATAAACATATACTTGATAAATTGAGAAATTCGTAAAATAAATACCTAAAAGAAACAAAAAAAAATTCCTACTGTACCTGAATTTTGTTCAACGATACACGTCGAAGGAACACAAGACGTAACTATAGTTGAAGCTACAAACGCTATAATTGTGAAAAATGTTGCTTAATTTAAGCGGTGCTTAAAAGTTAATGTCCCCAAAAAATTACAGTCAATGTTGTTATTTTAAGTTTTCACTTTATATTGAATAACTTTTTGATAATCGAACGGATTATTGTGAAATAATAATAAAAGAAAATGAAAAACCATCCGCTGACTTGTCCTCTATGAGAAATTGACCTCTTAAATAAAAAACCATCTAATTTTTGGTAAATAAAATAATTTTTTTTTAATTTGTTACTCATAATATAAATAAGAATTATATACAGTGATTTTAACACTGTCAACAATATCAATCAATACTAATAAAGAAAAATATCTCAACTTCACTGTGCTGGTTATCAACTATATTTAATTAATATTATTACTTATTTAATTTATTATTTATCAGGTATTAATATAGAAGTATTGTATTTTAATTAAAGAGAAAAATCATCGCTGATTAACGTAAAAATTAAATAAGTTGAAGATAAAAATGTTGTCATCAATTTTGATTCAGTTATCAATTTTTTGCGAAAACGTACCATCATGACTTATTGACAATTTAAATATTAAATTGTTAATCTCGAACCGATTAATTAGTTTAGTAGAAACACAAGAATGCAATTATACGTTTAATGGACTTCAATCAGTTATAAAACATTAGAGTTTTTAAAAAAACCATGCAACTATAAAATAGTGTATCTACTTTAAAATAAATAAAGAATGGCTGCATAAATGTATACCGCCAAAGGAGAATCCCTGGGCGGAAATACGAGGGGCGCGTTCGATAGATGCGTTACTATGGATACTGTAGTCCGGAAAACTACCAATGGGAAGACTCGAGGGAAAAGTTCTCCCTACACATTTAAATAAACGTACACCCACGTATTCGTAGTCTGTAATCCAAATGCAAATTATTTCCCCTAACAAAGTTCCCTTTAGTCGGCACGATTGCAATTAAAGGATTTACTCAACCAATAATATCTGCCTGCACCCCGGTATAAAGCTTAAATGTGAACTCCACTTTATACTTCCATTAGAAAAAAAAAAAATTAAATAAAAATACTATACACACATTGCGTTGTACCTGTGGTTCGAATCTGCATGCAGGTCTTGTCTCACTCCCGGCGTTACAATTGCCGGGTGAGAGTGATGGGTATGGTGAGATAAATGATGATGAGGAGTTGAACCACTCATTAGGCCCGTAGGTGAAAACCTATACAATTCACTGAAAAAAAATTGAATGCTTAAATTATTTATGTTTTTAATAATGGTTCAAAACTATAAAATTTCTTTTTCAATACGATAAAAAGTTTTACAATCACCACCGAGAAAAAATGATAATTGTAATTTGTAGTAAATTAATTTTTTCTGTTTTTAGCTTATTCTTAAAATAGGAATTTTTCATAAAAAAATGCTTGAGAAAAACGTTTTAATTTTGAAATCTACTCACGCATGTATAAAAAATAAATATGTTAAAGATAGAAAGTTTAAGCTAATACAACTATATTTAAATATACCTACTCATAAACTTTATAAAGTTATATATTTTCATATTCTACATATTTTCTTTTATATTGCGTTTTCTAATTCTTAGTGCATTAATTCGATTATTTAAAATAAAATGTATACTTACTTAGTTAAGCTCGACCCCAATGAAGGCGGGTAGGACCCTCTGAAACCAGTTCCAGCCGATGAGATCTGATGGTACATACTAACTGGCGTGTGCCTAATAAACAATAATAGATTACTAAAAAAAAAGTTAAGCAAAAAGAATAATAACTATCAATGTACTTTATAAAGAAATAAGAGAGTTATCAGATAATGCGAAAACGGGAAAGGAAAAGAAAATCGGCTTAGACAAGATTTGTGGGAAAGTAAAGACTTGTAGTTGAGAAAAATGGGGGAGAAACACGATTTTCTTTTAACAAATTGACCGGAATAAGAACAAACAAGGGTCAACGACAGACAAACTAGATTAGAGGTTTACTTAAAGTGTCAACTGACCACAATCCCCTTTTCTTAAACAACGTTTATACAGTATTCACTATATTTTAAAAATAGAATAATTTTCTTCTATATTATAAAATTAAATCATAAAAGAATTAACAAATTATAAAGTTGGTACATGTAGAGATTAGTCAATATAATCGTATACCTAGCAATATTATAAACCCAACAGCATCTCTGTTAAGAAAAAATTTAGTTTTAAACTAAAATATTTTATGAATTAAATGGTTTTTTATTAATTTAAATATTAAACTTTATCATATATATTTTTAATATTTTACAAATTAAATAAAAAGTATTTGTATTATTTTATTAAGTTAAATTTTTTCTATGGAAACAATGTTTGTAATTAACTTACCATGATGCTGCAACTTGGGACATATCCGGACTTAATAATGGATATGGGTATTGGCTAGTCGGAAAAGGGTACATTGAAGGCCTCGGAAGTCCTAGAAATAAATACTTATGATAAGTATATAATACACATTTATTTAATAGTTAATATTATCTTAAAGTTATTATTAATGGAAAAGTTTTTCACTATACTAGTAGTTAATTATGTGGATATAATTCCACATACAATTTGCACTAATTATAACTAATTATACCAAAACACAAACTAACAATGATTTTGATATTTTTTTAAAGAATATTTAGAAAAAAAAATATTTTTAATTAAACTTTTATCCAAGATTTTATCTTGAAAATTTAAATAAATGAACAACGCATAGGTTTATGAGAGTAATATTTTCTCTTATAAACATACATACATTAGTCATAATAAAATCTAATCAGGTTTAAATACTAATTTTTTATTAATCTAAACCATCTTACATTTTTTGATATGCTTATTTCTATAGTTATAATACATACATGTGTATATATTATATTATCAAAAATAAGAATAATTAATTGTTTAAAAAATCTTATTTATAGAGCTACAAATCTAGCAAGTCAATAAGGTTAAAAAGAAACCAAGTCGAACTTATAGTGCTCGCTTATATATATTGTGTAAAACTTTAGATGTTCATTTTTTATAAAACACACTAACATAATTTTAAATTTATAGTCATGTAAAAACATTTAAATCATAAAACAGAGGTCGTTGAGAAATTAGACTAGTAGGTTCGTTATAAGCATATAACCTGAGGGGATAGCAAAATAATTGTTAAAGAGTCGAGGACTTTTTTCATATCCCTTTTGTGTCACCATAATTATCATGGTACAACGGTATTGTTTTCACCGCAGGCTTTTTGAAGGGATTGGCTTCGTCAATGTCTACGTGCACTCATATATTTAGGGGTTCTTTAACTTTAAAGGGTGAAGAAAAATCGATATAAAAAAATGTACTCACCGGGCGCTTTGTCAAGCTGGTAAGGAGGAATGCCCATGTGGGCGGGTGGTGGTTGGGTACCCAGTTGCTCGCCGTTATGGCAAAAAAACGGATGGGCTGGTCCTAAACCGATTTTACTAGCCTGTAACAAACAAAAACATAATTATTAATAAATTTTAGATCATTTGTCAATTAAAGATTAGTGAAAAAATATTAAAAATAGAAAACAATTTTTTCGTCTTACACAAAAGATAAGAAAAATAACATAGCACACTAAAAATAAATTATTTTTATTATTTTGTAAACTGATAACCCAAATAGAATACGTGCCTGTTTAGCATAACTTATCAAGTCTCTTATCGTTATAACGAAAGTCGGTTCGAGAGGTTGTGTTTCAACCCACAAAAGTGCTTTTTTTAGATGATCTACAACTTGAGGTGCATGCGGAGGTATTTCGACATCTTCAAATTTTGCCGACTCAATTTCCGCTTCAACTACTTCAGAAGGATGGGATAGCATCCAAATCAACATTTCATCGTTTGACACTTGCATTCCAAGATCATGGATTAACCATCGAAGTTCCGATATCGAGTATTTTAATGGAAACGACCACGTAGTATTTTTCCAGCATTTTGCAAAAGATTCAGTCGTTACTTGTAGCCAAGCTCTATGTATTAAAATAAACGCATCTTTTAAAGTGTATTTTTTAAAAAAACTTTGTATAGGATTTTTACACTGTTGCTCTAATAAAATTTGTGTTAGAAGTAGAGTTGTGTAAGTAATTTTGAATTCAATAAACATAGATGATTCTGATATTGTATTCTTATCACATTGTTGCAAAGAAACTCCCTGGTAATCATGTTTCTCTGGAACATATGAAGCTTTCTCCATGACTAACACAGCTTTTGAATTAATTGATAATGCAGCAGGACAAAATTCTGTCTCAAACCACCATTTGAACAAATCCTGTGTGGGATGTCCACCGCCTCCTCCAGCATAAATAACAGGTTGTCCCAACATGTTAACAGATTCTATGCATGGAGGTCTCCAACGCTTACCTATCACCAAGACTCTGGTCCTGTGTCTCCCACTTTTGTTCCCTGCCATAAGAAGCCATACATTACGATCCTGATTGTTGGTTACATATTTCGTTTTGTCTGGTAATCCATTGATATCAAATGGTATAAATAGACCAGCATAGATTTCGTCATCGTTATAACCATCTAGACAACCTCGATTCTTCATAAACTTCTTGATCCAATCAAGAGTGATTAATGATATGATACTCGGAGACACTTTGCGCATTTTCAACATTATAATGCTCTTTTTTTTTAGGTTGAGAGGTGTTAGTGGTCGTCCTAGATTTTTGGTCCATTTTGAGTACCACAAATCGATTTTCTTAGTAACATCAGCTTCGCAGGTGATTCTCAGTTTTTTAGCATTTTTAACTGACATATGCTTCTTGGGTTTCATTTTTCTTGGGTTATTTTATAACAGCGGACATATCGCACGAGCGACGACTGTGATGCGACTGAAACTGGCGGGTCGTTTCACTCCAAATATATAACTAAAAGGAGATAGACGGGCTTCAAAGCTCAACAACAGAGATAGCTTTGAAAAAGGTCAAAGAACAAAGCTACTTTGACAAAGAACTCCAAAGTCGGTACCACATTATATACATAATACTGGGAATATGACCTTTGATGTTTCTCTCTTTGATGTAGCAGTGCCTCCGCCCAAACGGTTAAATGCACTTTACCAACCTTGTTACAAAGAACTTTTTGACTCAAAGGCATATTTAATTTGAATTTAATACAACGTTTATAGTTTTTAAAATTTCAAAAAGCTTTCATTTTTTATCTTTTAACTTAAAAATGTAAGTAAATTATGTAATCATTTTAGGTAAAAAAGTCAACTCTTAAGAGTGTTATAAAAAAGTTCTTCGATACATTATCGATGTTAGCAGTTAATTTAAAGCATATAGCAAAAAAATGATACAATCGACGAAAGAGTTTAAAATAAAATTCAATTTGTTTAACCCTCTGATGGAAGAAAGTAGACTACTTGCGGATTTCTCTAATTCGATAAATCAAAGTTTCGGAAAATCAATTGGGGTCTATAATTAAGTTCAAGAATCCTTATTTAGCGTTCCGGAAGTTTGATTATTTTCACAGCGAGTTGAACAATTTCAGTAACAAGTTAATTGAGTAATTCTCCCTTTTTTATATAAATTAAATTATTTAAGGTGCTAATATATTTATACTGAATAGTGAATAATTATAAGAACATATCTAGAAATAGTTAAAAGATTTTCAGAGATTCGAAAAAACATATTTAATTCAATCATGTATAAACTACAAACAACTAAGTTCTTAACATTATGTCAATATTTGTATATTTTTTTTAGTCTGTCGTACTATATTGCTCTATTTTGTTTGCACGACCGTTTATTATTAGGTCTGCTGTGTTCTCATCATCATGTCCTCATATGCTCTACTCCCAAATACAACATTATATATTAATTTGTACAATGTTGTCATTGTGCATAGTACCAAGGGATTTATAGAGGGGACCTTTTTTTTTATATACATTTTTATCGCATCTCAATTGTAAAGTCCCTCATTTTATCTTGTCATCGTCCCCTATTAATGGTTTACAGTTCTAATATCTTGGATGGCACGCGCACCTCGACATGAATGAATACACAAAATAGTAAGGGTTCATTCTATACTTAATGTTGGCGTCTCATAAAATCTGTTAAATCTATGTACTGTGTATCGATATTGAACTTTTGACATAATATACTTCCTGTCAGTTACAGCACAGTATAAATTTATATAGCACGCGTATGTCACAATTACCTTTGTTCAAATTTTCCCAGAATATTTCGTTTGATTAAAAAATGCGTAGGTGATGTAATTGAAACATCGACAAGACTCGTATTTTTACATACATATTCATATTTAACCACAAATTCACCATATTTTAACACCAATTTAACTATACTTTATACAGAGCCTCATTAGAATAACATTAGGAAACCCCGCGGCCAAAGAGGCCCCGCTGTGAGGATTTACACCAGAGTCCTCTTTATGCGTAGAATAACATTACCATTATCTAGCTAACTAATCCTTAAATAATAGACATATTAATGGGGAACATGGCAAAATCGGTGTGACAACGTATTTATGAGTCTTTTGTACTATTATTTTCATAAAAAAAATAAAATAAAAAAATAATAATAAACCCCAAAAATAATAAAAGGGCACATATGAATCAATATGTACACAAAACAATATCTCAATAACATGCATATTTTTTAAAGCCGTTCAACCACCACTCCCACTCGTTTTTTCAATCAAGATCTGATTGCAGATCAGTGAAAGGTTTCCGGAACAATACGAACCGATGAATATCTCGACGAAAAGCTCCATAATCGAGAGGGTTGTATAATAAAAGGACGCAGTATAATATAGGTCCATATGCGTACAGCGATCCTTATCATTTGCGAAAGTAATGGGACGGCTAAGTGCTTTGTCAAAACTAGGAATAAATCCAGACTGTAATGAACAAATCTGGTGATCAAAAATAATGTCAATCAAAATGTACTCATAACCTAAAATTAATGAAATTGAAGGAAACTGTATTATGGAGGGTTTTGAATAGTATACGGTCAAAACTTTATACCTTTTTAACGACACTTATATACATACATTCTATATAGTTAAAATCCATTATTATTACTAACAGTCCATTCTTGTTAAATTTGACTTATAGATAGTAATTAGTCAATAAATATTTATTTAACGTTTCAACTAGAAAATTTTTTATGGAATCTCGCTTCTGATTCTTTAACACGCCCGAGTTTTTCACTTAAAATTTTTATTTTTAGGCAAATTTACCGAAATAACAATTAAAATATGAAAGAATAAAATATATCAGCAGTAACTAAACATTTTTATATTATAATACGTAAGAATATTATTATTCTGTGACAAAATACTATACAGTTTTAAATTAAATGAATACTGTAAAACATACATACTCTACAGAAATAAATGTTTATGCATAGTAAATTATATTCATAATTAATTTTCTAACAAAAAATGTTTTTTTTATTTAGGTAAGTACCAATTCAACGTTAAATATTATAATAACAGAAAATATACGACAATAACGTCATTGACGCAGTTATGGAGAGTTTCATATTATTTTTGTCCTATTGCCAGAGTACTTGAATTAGTAAGTTCGTTAACATACCTTTCAGCGAATACTTGACTTGCTGTACGATAACGTTTTCAAATATTTATAATTGGACGTCGTCGCGGATACACTCGACTGCTGCTAGCGCGCACCAGAATAAAAATATAAGCTAGATCATTATTCAATTTTTTTTTTATTTATACAATAATGAATAAACAACAAGAGTGATTGATTGTAAGAGAAAAGCCGCGTGCCTTTTTTGCCACAACATTCTTTTATTTTTTTTACATAAATAGAAACGGAAATTAAAATGTCCGGTTAGGGAAAGACTCTTTATACATAAGAGTGAAAAGATCTCATTATTAATGGTTCAGAAAATCGTAGATCTATCTGAAAATACAAAATTATAGAGAACTTTTCAACTTCTTGATAAACAAAAGCAAACTATAAAACTCACAACTAAAAATAAATTAAAAACTGATTTAAATGGAAAATGTGTTTCAAAATAAATTAATCTCAGTAAACAATCATATTTTAGTTAAAATTACATTGAGAAATAATAAGAAATTAGTATTGAGAAGTATTAAAACATTTATGATTTGATGTTTTTCACAGTTGAATTTGTTTTCATTATCTTCATTCGTTATAGAAACAGATTGTCGAAAATACGGAAAATAGGATTTAATATAAGCTTTTTCTGTTTTTATATCCCCACAATCGTTTTTCTCATTTTGTTAATGCGCAAAGAGCGGACGGCAGGATAATAATACACAAATCCCAGACGATTTCTTTACATAGACGATCACAAAAGGAAAACTTAGTATACAATAGGAATGAAAAAATAAGAGAAATACAACAGTGTTAGGAAGTAAATATATTCGAAAATATTATGCCAAATATATATTTGAAAAAACTTATTGATGGTAAGTTGAAGTTTACCAAACTTCTGAGTTATCAAGTGTTTTTTAAACTTAAGAAGATAATTCAAACTGGAATAATCGAGTTACAGAACATCAAAAATAAATGTAAAAAAATGATGAAAGTTACTTATAAAATTGTTGTCCTAGATATTTTTGAATATTAAACAAGAAATAAGATCACTAATTATAATTCCATATTTATAACTAAACGATAATTTCACATGGCTTATAGTTAAATTCAAAATTAGACAATAAAATATTTTATTAAAAAATACTTTACAGATGAAAGACTAGTTCATCTTGTTCATCGGCACTGTCATCAGAGGGATGTAATGGGATAGGGTTGATTGGTTACAAGACAAGTGGACCGAATATGATGACTATCCCTCCCCTGGGCATTTGTATGGTAATGACGTTCATAGTTAGGATTGGGACACTGACGAGTGCAATTTTCATCCCTTTGAAGTTTTCCTTAATCCGGTTACTCGTTTCTACGGCCCAGTTTCTGTGAGCTTGAGCCACATTATCAGCTCGGTATCCTTCCTTTAGAAGAGTATGAAAGTAAAAAAAATGTATAGGCTTTCAAATGCTTCTAAAATTGAAAACAGGGTAAAAATTGGTAAAAAGATATGGAGGAATAAAAGAAAAGAAAAAGTCAAGTGCTGGTTGTACAATGATCAGAGTGCAAACACAGAAGAGGGAATGACCGCTATAAGTGGTTTACAAGCTCAGTAGGCCGTGAAATATGGATTATGATCGGTCGCGTGGGGGTATTGGAAAAGGGTTTGTTAATGGATTTATTATGATTGCACCAATCGTTTTGTAATTTGACCACGGCCTAGGGACTTGGAGCTGTGGGAACGATTTACGAACAAAAGCGACTGTAAGTATTTTACACCACGGCCAGAATTCACTAAACCGAGTAATTAAAAAACCCAAGTACTCGTTTCAAGTTGTTTCCATAAAACTTGGCAAAAAATAGCAATAAAAGCACAAGGAGACCGTATAATGTAAAAATTCACCGATTCTATAATTCTTCTATCGCATAACGTCCACAAAATGCTCGAAACAACTACATGACATCATCGTGCAATAACGAACACAATCAGACTACTGTTCAGCGTGTGAACCCATAAACGGGTACCAACAGCTAACATTATATTATTATTTTTATTATCTGAGATGTTTGAGGCGCGCTTATTACTGTTCTGTAGAACACAATGGACAATAAACGTGCAATAGATAATACTTTTTTTTTTACACAAAAAATCGTTTGCACAGATTACAAACTAGCTTACCGCCCCATTTCGCTAAAAATATAAAAAATGATAAAAAAAAGTAGCAAGTATAATTGAATACAATTATTTTTCTTAAAGAAAAAATAAAGCAAGTGGTTTAAATTTTCTTCAAATAATGCACATTGCAGTAGTTAAAATGGGTTTAGTTTACTTTTTCTCAGATGTTCTGGCACAGATAAATCCATGTCTACCCTAATCGTAAATTCATATTTACTTTTCATATTTATTTTTTCCTTGTTCTCATTCACCTTAGCTCGCCCGTAACTAATTCGAGACCGGTGGTAGTAATTGAAACTATACGGTATCCAGTACCAATATTTGCTCATCGACTATCTCCCCTATTGTCATTGGTACTTCATCATATATACACGTTAAAAAAGCCAAAAAAAAATAT